CTCCTGTCCAGATCCCAGCCAGGGCAGACAGGATCGAGGTTGTGGGAAGACCACACGTCTCACCTGCCTCTACCAAGACCCCCCCATAGGGCTCCAAGCCTCAGGTTTGCTGGTACCAGGGCTATATGTCTGTGATCTGTGTCATCACCCCTAACCCTTGGCCACCATTGGGAAGCCCTGAAAGGAGGACTGAGCTATACCTCATCTATGCACATTGGGGGCTAGACAGATACAAACCCAGGACTTTGCCCACCACCCTGCCCTGGGACCTGCCCCCATCTGCCACTGCACTTCCAGAGTGCCACCCCCATCAGCCAAGTGGTCAAGGTGCAGAGAGCTGACCACCAACAAGCAGCTCCACTCAAGGGTTGGTGGCCGGGTGGGCTGGGACTCTGGAAACCCAGAGGGACCCTGGGTGTGGATCTAGACCCCCTGGGTTAACTCAACAGCCAAAGGCAGGCAGTCCCATGCTTAGCACTACTTAGTCCTGCCAGGTTTCCACAAAACTTGCTGTTGAGGGTTGGCACCAACTTTACAAAGACCGACAGGCTCTCCTTTTATTGCGCACATGTACCCAGCAAGTCACTCAGACTTCTTTTGGCAAAGGCCACTTCATCTCCAATCTGAACCCAGAATATTTATAGAAAGTTGCCAGATAAACATCACTCGGTAAAGCAGATTTATAAGGAATGTTCCCCTACAAAGAAGGGGAAAAGGAAAGTTAACAGCCCCCACCCCCAGAAGAGGTTTAGGGGTACAGATGAGAGCACTCTTGTCAGGGTGCGTGACTGAGCATGGTGACCAGTCAGCACGAAGCTAACCTCCTCCATCCAGCCAACATGATCCACCCAAGGATCAATTCCTACTCAAAGATGGAAAACACAGATTCATCTCAGATGATCTGTAACATAGTCTTTGATGATGGCCAAGAAATCTTGCCCGGGTCCAGGTCGGGGTCCCCTTCTCCCATGCCAGGATTTATCGCCTCCTAGTGACCAGGGATCTCCAGACAGGACAATTAAAAGGAACTTATAACCAAGCAAGAAACATAAGCTCTGATACTTTTGTCTCAAATGAAGATACCAGCTATGCTAAAATGGTTCACCTTTTTAAAACACCAACTCTTTCTTGGAAAGGCTTTACTCTAAAGAAAAGCAAAAAAATATTTCACCAACATCAATAAAGAAGGACAGGCTAAGAAGTTTTCCTGCACACTGTCTTTTCTATGTTGTGTTCAAAGTCAGGATAATACAAAACCTGAACACTTTACATAAAGAAAAATCATGGCCGGGCGCAGTGGCTCACGCCTGTAATCCTAGCACTCTGGGAGGCCGAGGCAGGCGAATCATTTGAGCTCAGTTCGAGACCAGCCTGAGCAAGAACCAGACCCCGTCTCTACCAAAAAAATAGAAAGAAATTAGCTGGACAACTAAAAATATATAGAAAAAAAATTAGCTGGGCATGGTGGCTCATGCCTGTAGTTCCAGCTACTCGGGAGGCTGAGGCAGGAGGATCGCTTGAGCCCAGGAGTTTGAGGCTGCTATGAGCTAGGCTGACGCCACGGCACTCTAGCCCAGGCAATAGAGTGAGACTCTGTCTCAAGGAAAAAAAAAAAATCATATTAGTATTTAAAAGACTAATTTGAAGAAAAAATATGATAATCTTCAAATGTCATTTTAATGTTAAACTATTCTTTCTTAGATATTTTTTACTCAACTTAAGCAGTTATTAAATGATTCATATATCAAAATTTTAAGGGTCATATAGGAATATTTTTAGGCATTTCCAATTGCTTTTTAGAACTATAGGAATAATGAATAATTATCTTTATTTCAGAAATTTTCCACTACATCATAATGAACAAGAAGCTCAGTGTTCAGTTTTAAACCAAAGAAGGGGCCAGATGGCTCATGCCTGTAATTCTAGCACTTTGGGAGGCTGAGGTGGGAGAATCACTTGAGCCCAGGAGTTTCAGACCAGCCTGGGCAACGTACCAAGACCCCATCTCTACAAAAAATACAAAAATTAGCTGGGCATGGTGGTCTGCACCTGTAGTCCCAGCTACTTCGCAGGCTGAGGCAGGAGGATCTCTTGAGGACAGGAATTTGAGGTTGCAGTGAGCTATGATGATGCCACTGCACTCTAGCCTGGGCAACAGAGCAAGGCCCTGTCTCAAAAAAATAAATAAACAAACAACAACAAAAAAGCAGGAATTAAATTAAAAATGCAATTTGAATTGTATATCTATCAAAATACGAAAGTGAAAAAAGCATCCTAACTGCAGGCAACAATATTACCCAGATTCATCCTCTTGCAGCTAACATTTAACATTTCAACTCTTCCAGGCCCAGAATCTTCCCAGAAGTGACTTTGTGCTTACTTGTGCCAAAATGTGTTAAATTAGGAAAGAAAAGCATAAACTTTAATTCATAATCCAAGGCAAAAATCTCAACTTTGGTTTAAAAAATGAAAAGCTATTAGCTGATATACCATACTCTGATCCTTCAAATAAGCAAGATATCTAATCCCAAAGACAGATCCCAAACAAAAAACAGCCTAAGTTCAGACTGACTGCAGGGCACTAGCTCCCAGCAAACTCCATGGCCAGAAACAGAGATCTGAGACCGAGACACGTCTCAAGTCCAGGGCTAAGGAACTAATATCAGACAGCCAGATAAGACATGACAACGAATAAAAGGAAAGGTCTGGACTAAACAGTATTCCCTCCCTTCTCCTAAAGCACACAGCTCTGGGCCTAATCACCAGGATTGGTAAATTCATCAACTCTCCTCTTTGCCCTGGGTACCCCTGGAGCTTGCCTGGAAGGGCAGCTGTTCGATGAAGAGGGAAAGTTAGGGACACAATTCTTAACGCAGAGACACAACCTCAAGGGTAGTAACATTTTCCACTTTTAAAGTCTTTACCCTAAATTGAAACAGGCAAAGCCACTCTGAAATGATTCAGCTACTAATGAAATAGAACGCCTGCAATTACTTTTCCTTCCCTTCCAACAATGTAAGGGTGTGATCCTGGAAATAGCCCTCTTCCACCTCCATGACTGGAAAGGGCATCCCCGAGGCCCCAAGTGCCCCTGACGAGTGTTTTCAGAGATACCAGAATGTTATTTGACATAAGAGACATTTTCCTGTCTGCCCCTGCCATTTGTCATTGAAAAAAAAAATAATGCTGCTGCGTACCCCCAAAATGACCTTTTCACAAGTGGACTTAATTTTTCCTTAACTGGTGACAGAAAGTCACTCAAATGAAAAGCCACTCCTTGAACAGATAGATATGCAGTGTGGAGGCCTCCACCCTCCCTGGCCGACCCATGCAGCGATAGCAGGCAGGACTGAGAGCAGTCCTGGAGGGACCGCAGCAGGGAGGGCTGGGCGCAGAAAGCGGCCAAGGGCAGGCGAGGCCCCAACCACACCCAGCACCCGGAAGCACCAGGCTGGGAGACGGACCAAGCCCCAGCTACCTGGCGGGGAGCCGGGAGCAAGGAGCACTGCTACATTGTGCACCAGGCAAGCCTGAGTCCCCGTAGGCCAGGCCAGGGCCAACAAGGGGCAGTCTGTAAGCCCCCGACCCAACACTCTCCAACCCCAAGTGGAACTCCCCGACCTCAAAGGCCACAAAACACGAGCCCTTCGGGTCCCTGAGCTCGCCCCCAAACCTCGGGTGCTGGTCTTCCAAGCCGACCGGCTGCCTCCGGGGAATGTGCGTATGGGCGGCACAGATAGACTTAAGGAAACCCTCATCTGGAGCGATCACCCACCACAGAGGAGGGGGCTGGGGACGCCGCACCAGAAAAGTGGTCACCGCGGGGGAGGAGGATCAGTTCCCTGAGTTGGTTGGCAACACCGCGGCCTCGGATGTCCGCGCTGCGGGAATTCGGTGGCCGGCCACGCTCCCGCCCTGGGTCGCCGCAGTGGCCCCACCCTAGCCATGCCCTCCCCCAAAGACCCCAGCGCCTGGGACCTCCCGCTGCGCCGGCCCCCAGGCGCAGCCCCCAGACACCCATTGTGCCCCAGGACGCTGCACCTGGGTCCCGAGCACCGTCGCGCCTCGACCCTGCACAGCGCACCCGGCCCTGCTCCAGCCGCCGTGGACACGAGCCCCAGGCAGGCGGCGGGGACGCAGCGCCCGCAGTGCGACTGGCGCAGCCATCGAGGCGCAGGGCGCGCAGCTGGGACCCCGACCCCGCCGCGCTAGGAGGGCTGGCGGCGCTGGTGGGGAGCCGCACCCCCCGGCGGCGCGGAGGCTGCTGGCCCAGGAGCGCTCCCCCGCGGGCCGGGTGCCGGGCGGAAGACCTGTCCCGGATTCGAGAGGACGCGGGTGGGGATGAGATAAGGATGGGGACATGAACTGGGCTGAGGTGTGGAGCAAGCCAGGTTCGGGAAGGGAGGACTGGGGCAGTGGCATGAGGATCCTCTTCGGACACAGAGAAGGAGGGGTCTGTCCGGGACCCGGGACTGGGAAATAGGGGTTCCCTCCAGAACCTGGGGAAGTGGGGCGAGGGTCTGTTCTGGAGTGCGGAGGGAGCTGGGGAGGTCCACTCCCGGCCCAGGATAATGGGGGAGGGGAGTAGGCAGGAGGGGAATGAGGGAGGCAACCTCGGTGCAGGGAGGGGGAGCAAGAAGTAGTGGGGAGGGGGCCCACCAGGTGCAAGAGGGGACCATCCAGGACAGGGATGGGGAGGAGCGGGACCCGTTCTGGCCGCGGGCACCGGGAGAAGGAAAGTGCGCCGGAGAGTAAGAGCAAGAGGATGAGTCTTGGACCAGGGCTGGGGACCTGGGGGTCGGACCCGCCCCAGGGGTAGGGCCACGAAGGTCTGTCCAAGACGCGGAGTAGAGGGAAGGGGAGTCGGACGGCACGAAAGAGGGCTCTTCATGTACAGGTAAAGGGTTGCTGTCTCCGCAGAGGGACCGACAGGAGGTCAGTACGGGGGACGAGGGGACAGCGATGCGGGGGGCGTCCAGCCCAGGGCGGGGGCCGCTCACCTTGGGTTTATACAGCCACTTTCGGAATCTGTTCATCATCGCTGTGCCGGCCCCGGCCGGGCTCCGGGCGGCCTCCGCCCTCCGCAGCGCTGCGGCCGGGCCCGGCTGCGGCGCGGGGCGGACGCGGAGTGAGAACCGAGCCGGGGCCCCCGCTCGGACCCGGGGCGGCTGGGCTCGAGCGGAGCTTGGAACGCCAGCAGGCAACGGGCAGGTGCGCGGGGTAGGTGCGCGGCCGGGAGAACGCTCGGCAAGCGGCACCAGGGAGGACTCTCAGAATCGCGAGCGGCGCGCGGGCGCACGGGCTGACCGACAGGCGCAGCTCGGGGGCGCGCGGCTCCTCGCAGCTGGCTGGCACCCCGCGCCTCCGTGGTCACGGCCGCCCCGCGCCGCACATGCGCTGAGAGCGCCGCGAGCCCCAGAGCCCGCCGAGAGCCGCGGGCGGGGCGGGCGGGAGAAGGCTGCCCAATCCCCGAGCCCGCGCCGCGCCCTGCCCGAGGCGCGCCCTGGGCCGGCGAGGCGACCCTACGCGTCCGCGGGCCCGAAAGACTACAAGTCCCGATGGACATTGCGGGAGGCAGCCCCTGGCCGCGGCGCCCTTCGCCGTGCGGCGGGCGGTGTGCATTATGGGGGTTGTAGTCTTCCCGCCGACGGCGCCGGAGCGTGCCCGGTTGCTAGGTGACGACGCCCAAACAGAGCCCCAGCCGCGTCCGCCCCCTTCCCGGGTGGCTGCCCGAGTCTTCGCTCACCCGGAGTGAAGAGCGGAACCGGCTGCGATTGCCAAGATAACTGGCGGGGCAGGTGGAGGCGCGAAGGACAGTTCTGCGGTCCGCAGCGGCCGCGGAGCTGTCAGACAGGTACGGGGTACAGGTACTGGGCACAGGTACAGATGCGGAGAGGGGGATCCGGAGGGGAGGAGGACGCGGCACGCTGCCCACCTCATCAGCATCTTATCACCGACAACTTTCCGTTATCTGCAGGCCGGTTCTCGTCTCCTTGCTTCTCATCTTGCTTTCGCTAAACACCTTTTTGGTCTTCTTCCTTGTTCCCTGATTTAAAGTTAACGGTGCTTTTTTTTTTTATCGCCACAATAAACGGTGCTTGTTAAAGATTTTCTCCCGCACTCACTACTTCCCCCAACGGTACCCTGATGTGGATCTATAAAAACGCTCACCAAACGCCAAGCAGAAAAACAAATATGTGGTCTCACTTAAAATTCCCATTTAGAGCTGAAGACACTGAGGCACAAAGAGGCCGACGTGCCTTGGCTGTAGTGGGTAGATCCAGGTCAGTGGCAGGTGTGCCTGCCTCCAACAGCGTGCTCTTCTCTGGCGTGCTCTGGAATGTGCAGATTTAAGACAGGAGAGGGAAGTAACGTCTTCCTTGGTATAGAATTCAAAAGCTCCCCCGCTCCTTTTCATCACTTGCCCAACGTCCTGGTGCTCAGATGGTTCTGTGCACTCCCTGACCACTCTAGGCCGTTAAACTCAACGTGGATCTAGGCATGGTGGCATCTGAGATTTCCCATATGTGGTGGTAGTAGTCTGTGTTTATTTTTGGCACCTGATTTTCCCTGCTCCCCTTTAGCTGCCACCCAGTCACTGCTCCCTAAAGAGGAAAATCCCCCAGAGTTGCCCTTTATCTATAATTCCTTTCTGCCTATTTTTCTTGAACCTACTCCAATCAGATTTTCACCCAACCACTTCTTTGAAGCTCTTTATCAAAGTCTTCCTTGATCTTGATGTTGTTAAATCCAATGATCAGGGCTCAGCTCTCATCTCCTTCCTTGAACTGTCAGCAGCAGTTTACCAGCTCCGTGTGCTCACTTGGCTGGAACAGATCACACTCCACTTCTCTTCCTCCCCCTGGCAGCCCATCGTCAGTCTCCTTGGCTGGGTGCTTCCTCTGCCCCTTGATTTCCCCACACTGGGGACCCAGACTCAGTCCTTGGAGGCTTCTTTATCCACCCCTTCACTGGGTGATTTCCTGCAGTCACATGGTTTTATAAACAACTATTTTCTCTCCAGCCTTTTCAGATCTTATGTCTCCAGCCTGAATCCTGCAACTCCAGGCCTGTTTATCTGTTTTTCACCATTTGGACATCTAACAGATCATCTCAAAATTGACTGAGTCTCCAAAACTGTACTCTCAGTGCCCCCTATAAAACCTGATCCTCCCAAAGCCACCGTTTCCTCAGCACAAGAATTCCAAGTAGAGACTCGATGGACTTGTCCAATGAGTGAATGATTGTTCTCTGTGGGTCTGTCCTTGGCCAACTCCAAGGCCTTGGGCTGCAGCTGCTCAGGGACTCCCTTCCTGTGCTTCATGGTTTGAAATCGTGCTCCAGATGAAGGCTGACCTCATGAAAGTGCATATATCCATTAGGATTAGGTATCAGCTACATGTAATGAGAAATCCTAACATCATAGTGGTCCAAACAAGAAGATTATTCATGCTTACATGAAAGAGGTCCATGAGGAGGCAATCCTAGTTGGTATGGCAGCCCCAATATTATCATGGATCAGATTTTCAAGCTGCCATCCTTACCATGTTTCCTCATGATCCAGGGTGGCTGCCCAGGTTCCTGCTCTCACCTCCTAAGCCAAGCCACCAGGTGGAAAAGAGTAGAAGGAAGGTATGCCCCTCCCATTCAGGGACACTTTCCAGAAGTCTCACACTCTTCCACCTCTTGATTGTGGAAGAACTTAGCCACATAACCACACCCAAATGCCAGGGAGATTAGGAAATGTCATCCTTCAGTTGGGCAGCAATAGGCCCAACTAAAAAATCAGAGTTTTGTTACCTGGGAGGAAAGGTAGAGTAGAGATTGAAAAGCAGCTAGCAAAGTCTGCCACACAAGGCTATGCTTCAAGCACAAGCCATAGGGGCATGACTTGGCAGCAATCCTTAGGACACTAGCTTTAATCATGGGAAAAGAATATATTTTAATTAACGTACATCTGGGATCTTATGTAAATGAGCCTCTCTAGTGGTTGAGAGTTTTGAATTTTTTTGTGTCTGCTGGAATGTAAACCTCCTCAGAAATCTCATTTCTGTCTAGAAAGTATTCACTAAGAAAAGGAGAAGCTTCGGTCCAGCCTACCAAGTTGCCTTAAATATGAGACAGTCAAGTCCTGATTAGTGGAATTAAAATCAATAAGAGAAAAAATTCAATAAGCTTGGGAATTAAATCACACTTCCCACGTAGATGGTTTTTCACCATTAAAATAAAGCTAAAGCCAGGTACGAGGATGCATCCCTGTAGTCCCAGCTACTTGGGAGGCTGAGGCAGGAGGATCGCTGGAGCCCAAGAGTTTGAATACAGCCTGGGCAACATAGCAAGATTCCTGTCTCTATAAAAAATAAAATAAAGCTGAGAATGAATGGATGAATGAATGAATACAGCTGAGATGCTGAAAGCATGCATCAGAATTGGATGAACTTTAACACCTGTTTCCTACCCAAAGATGGGATTGCTTTGATGAAGTTCATAGCACAATTCCAGGGGGATTCAGAATTCAAGCATCTCTTTCTCCCACACCCACCTTCACAGCACACCTGCTCTGTGCCAGATGTGGGGGTGCAGAGCCCCTGTCCCAGGAACCATCAGGCCCAACAGGGAGCTAGAGCTGCAGGGCAGGACAGGTGAGTCAGGCCAGGCTCCAAAGGGGCCCTTCTTTCCCCTCCCTATCTTCAACCTAGTCCATGCATTCATTCTTTCCAGTGCATTCCATCCAGGCTCATCCTAGATTGGGTTGCAGAGGGGTGGGGGGGAGTGGAATTGGCATGCTTCTCTTCCACCAAAGGGTGCCTTGGATCATCCTTTCTTCAGAATGTTCCAGGCTCCAGAACAGGAGGGGAGGGCAGGGAAACCATCCCACCCTGGGAGCAGTTCCGACACAGACCACTCCCTCTCACCACCCACATCGGGTGCAGGAAGGAGCCGTTTTTCTGGATGTATCCCCAGTTCCTCCAGGCAAGGCTGTGTCCAGAGGAGATTCCGGAAGGCTGGGGGTGAGGGTCCCCATCCTGGGGTAGCCCAACCCTCAACATGACTGGGGGAGCAAGAAAACCCACTCATTAACATTGTTTCTATAAAAATAGACTTCTTACCTAGGTTGTATTTTTCCTTGTGAGTCCTGGAATGTGTGAACGTTATTTTCCTTCATTGTGTTGACAGGGTGCCTCTTTCACACAGTTGTGTCTCATTCAGAGAGGTTACCAGGAATCAGGCCAAGGGCTTTAGAACTCAGCCTGGGCCTCGGGCTCACACAGACAGAAATCCTCCTTGGGGACAGGGGGTTGGACACCCGCCCCCCCCC